AGCTGATACCGCCGGGCCCTTCAGTGCGGAAGACAGATTACTGCAGGCAACAGCAGGGCCACGCGCCACGGAAGCCAGGGTTTCCGTCTCAGCACTCCTGACACCCCGGACAGGACGATTTGGTGCTGCAGAGGGCACCCTGTGGTTTTAGCAGCACCTCCCGCCTCACCCACTCAATGCCAGCAGCACCCACCTCATCCAGTGACAACCAAAGCTGTCTCCAAACATGGCCACAAGTCCCCTGGCACAGAAAATCACCCCTGGCTGAGAACCACTGGATAAACTGGACATCCCCTGCCACCTACACAACAGCTTAACTACCCACCTCTTTTGCCTGAAACTTATGTCACTGTGTTCTGAAGTTGTCCCCACAAGATTTAAAAGAATCCAAAGGCATCAAGGACTGTGTAGAAATAAAATATCAACCTCAGAAAATAGGCTTTTCACTTTTTTTTTTTTCATTCTTATCGACCACATTTTGAAATTTTGACACCTCTGGAATGGACATTGGCACAGAATAGTAACAACATGTTGATTTGTTTTACCAAAAGCAAAACAGTATTTGTAACTGTTGTTATGCACTGTCGAATCAGACCCCACTCATAGCAACCCCTCCTGGGGTTTGCGAGGCAGTATCACTATGGAAGTAGATTGCCCAACTGTCCTTCCGAGGACTGACTGGTGGGTTTGAACCACCAGCCTTCTGGTTAGCAGTCAAATGCCTTAGGCACTACGCCACCAGAGCTCCTATTTCTAACTGGGAAAACTGTTATCTTTCATGTGCCATGAGATTAGCACAAAATGGGAACACTGTAATAAAAAGCCCTCATCTTGACACCAGAATCCCCGTTTCCACACAAATTAAAATGATCCTCAAAGGCATAAAATACACAAGCTTTATTGATTGGGCAACAGTAACAGGCCACGCTGGCAAACAATGAAAGAGCCGCCGCTCAGAAACACGAAAGATCACATGTGTGTCATCAGAGCCGAGCACGTAAGCCCCTGGGAGCGCCTGCTATTGAAGCTTCGTCCCAGAGCGTCCCTCTAATCAAAAACGCTGTCTGGTGAGTATTTGCAATGATGATTACATAGAAGGAGATTCATTAATGAAGACAGCATGGGATCCTGTGTCTGCTGGAAGTTAACCCCACTGCAGTAAAATAGTAAGGTAGCCACAATTTCTTTTTTCCACAATGCCACACCCTTCCCCGACCCCCACAAACACAATATTCACTGACACTGCCCACCCAAACCATGCGGTAACAGAGAAGACAGAGCGCCCCGGGTGGTAAGATGCTGTGGTACCCAAGGTGGTAGGATGCTGCTCACTGTTGGTAAGCATTTCGGTTCCACTCAGAAACACCATGTGTTCTTTTTCCAAGAAGAAATCGATATAATTAATGGAAACATTTCCTAAGAAGTATATATAAACAACAGAAAGCTTCACGTTCAAAAGAAGGGGTGGGGGTAGGGGATAAAATCTGTTGTGTTTACAAAGCTCCTTCTCTATTTGTTAAATGAAACCAAGCTGGGAGTGATGGAATTTTATTGCGGTGAAAACGGAGCATTACTTCAGAAAACTTGATGCGACATCACACACCACACATACACATATTCCAAACACATCAAAAAGGCTAAAGAGAAAAATGGCTAATAGGTGTCTTAAGAACACGTAGTTCTCATTTAAAATTTGGCAAGGATTTAAAACGCTGCCCCATGAGGGTGGGAGTGGAGCCCCAGCCCCACCCCAGTAAAATGCAAAGTATAAAATCAAAAGTCTGAAGGGGAAAAAGAGGCATCGTTGTGCCGATTTCTACTGAGCACAAAATTCAAACGCCATTAAAGAGCACTGGCGGTGTACCTTACGCTCAGAAGCAGACCACTGAGGAAGCGTCAGTCAACAGATGAGGGGATTTCAGATCAGTTACAACAAGGGTTTCACTGAAGGAGAGCTGGGCTGAGGTCTGGGATGTGGCAACGGTGGAAGAAAGTCAGCCATCGGCTTCCAGCCCCAGGTGGCACAGGGAATGTGCTACGATCTTCGACTGCTCACTGGGACATGCCTTCACTTTCTCCGGGCAGCTCAAGTTGGCAAAACCAGTCTCCCTGGGCACACAGGTGACATATGCACCTACACGCTCTCAGAACTGGATCAAAGCTGTCAAATACAAACTGTGGCTCAAAATGAAGCCAATTGGTCATGTTCTTAGAGACAGCGAGAGAAAGGGAAAAAGAAAATCCAAACAGACCCTGCCCCCTCACACACACACACAACCAATCCCAACACATATACCAAAAAGTAATACAAAGTCTGACTACAAGGAAGGAACCGATGTCATCAGACAGCAGGGAGAACTGCGATTTGTTCACGTTAAGGAATGGTGTTGAAGCAGTGCTCACCCTGCGCCCCGGGGCCCTGTGGTCTCATGTGAAATTTGCCTGGCACCTTCAGTCCTGCTGGGTCCACGGTGAGGAAAAGGTGTCAGTGATGCCTTGGTAAGTTCTTTCCAGATTGTGAAGCAAGAAAAGGTTTACGGATTCAGGAGCACTTCTTATAAAGAGGATTTTGTTTTCTTGTTTTCTCTGCACAACCAAGATGACACACTCAACCAAAGAGTGCCCAGCTCACAGCCTCTCAACAGGGATTAAAGTTTGGTTTGTGTCCACGGAGGCTCCTGCCTGGTATCTGAGAAGCAGGGCGTGTGCATGCCCACACACTCAGGACCACCAGGGGGCGTCCCAGCACACTCTCACTGATGGTGAGTGTGGTCTGACCATAGGGTGGTTTCCACTTGGTCCTTCTTACCCTTGACTGTCTCCACTAATGTGTGGCCGAGACAATGGAACAAAGCTCACTGATGGCACTGACAAGCACCTTCTACTTACTTCCAGGTGTGACTTTTCCAGCCCCGCTTCTGCTCACTCACACACCTTGAGCAAAATTAGGAATTAAGAAGAAGACCAAGACGACCAACTTCATTTCCCGTTAGCTGCTGCTGTTGTCATGTGCCATCGAGTCAGACCCACTCATAGCGACCCCTCCTTGGTTTTCCGAGGCGGTGTCAGTACGGAAGGAGATGGCCCAAGCTTCCTTCTGCTGCGGACATCTCAATTTCTTAACAAGGATTCCGCCTAATCTACCTTCAGGAACCATCCCATCTCTGAACAAGGCCAGGGCCAGTGTGTGTGAACTCAGAGAGGGCAGGTTTTACAAGCTGACTTCCAAGAAAACAGATGAAGTTTCAAAACCTCCTCCTCCACCTTTGAAACGACGTTAAGATCACTCAACAACGAAGGCCAACTTGCTCAACTCTCCTGAGATTTTTGGACAAATGCCGTATTCCTAAACTACCAGCCACTCAATGCAATGGGTCTATTTATTCTGGCAGGTTCGGCTGGGTCAGAAAGGGGGAATACTGTGCGACTGCAGAATCTGAACGAAGAAGTGATGTCAATCACTGCTTTATCCCGCTGCAGCTTAAGTTTGAACAGTGCCACACCAAACATGAGAGCATGTTATGAGCACCCCATGGGCAGGAGACCTGCTGCCGGTTTCCTAACTCTCCTCTCACCGAGGGAACTGGGAGTCAGTGAGCACACCCAACAAGCATCACGCTGACAGGTTGAAGGGTACACGCAAGCCCGAGAGAGCAACCACATTGGATTTATGGAGACCCAACTTTATGGCATGCATGTGTGGTTTAGACAAGAACGCCTTGGCCTGCCACGTCTGATGCTCCCTAACTCCCTGCTCCCTCTGACACAAGAAGCCACAGCTTTACAGGAAACACGCGCATGTCCTCCATCATCCTGGTGGGGGAGGAGCCTTTCGCACCAGCTGCCTGTCAGCAAGCTCCCCGGGAACCATGTCCACAGCAGACCCACCCCAGATCCTCAAGCTGCAGCTGTGGCCGCCTCCCCCCTGGGCTCCTCGCTTGAAGCTGCCACCGATGAACAGCAACGCTGTCCAATGCCTCGGCCTTCATCAGTCCACCCTCAGTAATTCCTCCTAACAGGAAACAGACTTCTGTGGCAGTCAAGAGGCCCGGCAACCTGACCTTCCGACCTGGACTCTGAGGATCTGAGTCACATCTGCCCTGTTGTCTAAAGAATTAGCTGAGTCTCTTATCACACTGTGCACACATGTAGGGGCCACTCGTTGGCAGGCTTCCTGCTCAAACAACTGTGCTGAAAACGCTGGATGATGTCCATTGGCTTGTTAATTGCTACCAGGCCCTAACAAAGGAAGATAACACCTTTGAGGTTTTTGTTTTTTTCTTTTTTTACAAGGTGGCAGGTAAAGTTAACGCCAGTTCTGGAGGTGCTGAACAAGAGCAAAGATAACAGATGTCAGAGATGTCGGCAAGCCCTCTCCTCTCCAGGATGACTTTTTTTTTTTTTTTTAGAAGTCTTATTTCTAAGAATTTAATGTCATCTCAATGTGTTAGGGGCCCTGTGGAGAGGCTATGTAGCAATTCCAAATTCAGCATGTCATCTGTGGAACTTTTAACCAAACGCCCCTGTCTTTTTCTTCTCCTGCAAACATACACCAAAAACTTTTGTGTGTCTCTGAAACAGTTTTTGAAGAGAGAAAAAGATGGAAAGAGTGCATATTAGGACCGTTACACAAAAGCAAAAACAAAAGACCCCTTCTTCATCTAGACACACACTTTTATCACATGACAACACAATTCAAGTCATTAGGAACCTTGCACAGTTACCCACAGAGCCGTCTCAGCTGAGCCACCAGCTTTAACTCATTCATGTTCTTTCAAATAGGAGCGCACGGGAAGACAGGCCTGCGTGGGTGCCTCTGGGACGCTCCCTCCTGTTTATTCAGCACAAGGACGCAGAACAGCAGCATCCTCCCATCAAGGCTGCACGCGTCAGTTATCAACCACTGCAGCATCCGCAGGTGGTGGCAGTGTCAACGGAACTTGAACTCTGTCCATCAGGAAAGCGCAGAGCAGGGTGCCCCCACCAAGCACGCGCTCCGCCTACGACGTGAGCTTCGAGTAGCTGGGCGGGGAGAACCGTCTCCGCAGGTACTTGAGGACGTAGAGGGGGAGGCAGCTGACCAGAGTGATGACGGAGACTTTCCACAGGAAGGACAAGGTGGCGATGAAGTACACATCTGGAAGCAAACGGGAGACAGCAGTGAGCAGGAGGCAATGTGCTGGAAGGCTCCGTGGCCCAGAAACCGTCATCACGGCTATCAGAAAGGAAGTGTTCCACGCCGCAAGCACCCTGCCCCTGCCTGGCATCCATGCCCGTCTTCCCCTCCTAGTCCATAACGGATCTGCCACGGGCTCATATTACCTCATGAGGACACTGATTATTCGGTGGTAGAATTCTCATCCACCACGTGGAAGACCCGGGTTCAATCCCCAGCTGGTGCACCTCACGCACGGCCCCCACTCGTGGAGGCTGGCCTGTTGCCATGACGCTAAACAGGCTTCAGTGGAGCTTCCAGACTCAGACAGACTTGGAAGAAAGGCCTGGTGACCTCCTTCTGAAATTGGGCCAGTGAACACCCCACGGACAACGGCAAGCTCATCTGCAACTGACTGTGGGGATGGTGTGGGACCGGGCTGCGTGTCCGCTGTGCGCGGGGTCAGCGTGAGTGAGAGGCCAACTCAGCAACGGCAGCTGACAAGCAGCACAACAGGCCCTACAGGGGGTCGGCCTGACGTCCCCCCCTCTAGCCTGCTTCTGGAGAAGCCCTGCGGGGGCAGTGGTTAACACACTGGGCTGCGAACCAAAGCCTCTGCGGCTGGAACCCGCCAGCTGCTCTGTGGGAGAAAGATGAAGCAGTTGGCTCCCATGAGGACTGACAGCCTTGAACCCCTGGAGGGCAGTTCTGCTCTGTCCACTAAGGGCGCCGCGACCCAGCACTGACTCGGCAGCAGTGGGAGAGCCCTTCTGCGGCTTCCCGGTATTTAGTTGGAAAATGCTGTTTCCAACAACCAGGAAAGCAAAACTAGCAGTAAAAATCAAAATCCGACGGGTTTTTGCTTTGGAAAGCTGAAGTGTCTTTCTTTCCCTAGTTCACTGGCCACTGCAGAGCAGAAAGTGACAACCCCCTGCTCCTTCCTGCTTCCTTCCCAGTAACCTTCTCCCCTCAGCCCCATCACGCTGTCTCGGAAGGTCAGGACAGATCTGTGGCGTGGTTCAAAGCAGGCTGAGGTGCCCTTGTCAGAGACGGGCTGTACCTTAGGGGCTGTGAACTATGGCCACCAGTGACTGTACCTTTCTCCATGGAGCAAGTGCGAGCCCTGGCAGTGAGGAGCCTTCTACAAGAGAGGAGTGACAAGCCGTGGTCAGCAGTCCACAGGGCAGATGCCACGTGAACACCTTCTCACGTCTTAAGCGCTGGGAGGGCCACGCCCTGGCTGAGCACGGTAGGAAACAGGCAGCTGGGTGCTCGCCCACCAAGCAGAGGTCACCCAGGCACCTGTCCCTCAACTCTGTTGTGACTGGTCTGTGTCTAAGGTGGCCATGGCCCCTGAGGAACGACCACGTCTCCAAGCTCTGAGACCCTCCAGGCCCCAAGCGCCTGAGCACATCACAGGTGCTCAGGGAAGCCATCCTGAGATTTCTGAGACAAGCAAGAAATTGTTCCAGGATGTCTTTTCACAGGGAGGCGCCTCTTCCCTTTACTAGAACCTTCCTTAGGAGCTTTTGAAGCTGATAGATAAGAGACATGGTGAGTTTCTCAACCATTTTTGATTTTTATCCTCTAAGGAGTCTTTTCTTGGGCCATTCCGTCCCCCCAGTGACCCCCTCTGTGAAGTTTTAACACCACAGCCATACTGTGTATCTCTGTATATATTGTCTGCATACCTCCACTACGTACATAAAAGGATTAAGGTTTGTTCAACCCCCAAGAACCAATTTCCAGCCCCTTGGGGGGGCACTATCACCCCCAATGAAAACACCAGTGTTAAAGAAACAGGGTCCAGCAATTGTTGTACCACACCCTGCTGGGGAACCCAGCCCCTGAGGACTCCCGACATGGTAGGGAGGGGAAGGGGCTGCACCACTGAAATGCCCGCCAGGGGAGAGGCGAGAGTGAGCAGAGGTGGGCATCTTAGTGGGGAAGTGGCCTTGGAGCTTCTGCACATAAAGAGGCAGCAATGCGAGAACCCACCCAGAGGGCGTTCCGTTCTGTTCCGAACGACACAGACAGAAGCTTAATGTTTTGACAGAAAAGGCTCTGCAGGAATAGAGGGGCTATCTCCCACCTCAGGGTCGGCTTTACAGTGGACCAGTGGCCAGAAAAGTCTAGAGCCTTGAAGGTGCATGACCTTTCCCGGGGCTGGGAAAGCAAGATTCAAGTCCCACGAGATGATCCAGCACACAACCCCTGCGGTGACAGTGCCGAAGCTGAACTGGCAATGGGCTGCTGGCCTGGAATTGGAGCCCGGTGGCCTGTGCGGGGCCGACAGCACGCAGGGCCCATCCCAGTCACCCATGGTCTACAGCGGGGCTCAGGGCTCCTGCCTGGCTCGGAAGTGCAGGTCACCCCTGCTTGCTGAAAGTTCGCTTTACACCACCTTGCTTTTATGAAAGACCTACATGAGCACCTGTTTTCGCTCACCAAAAGAAATCCAAAGAGGGTTCTTCCTTTTATGAGAAAAGGTGGAAAGCGAAGGTGGTGTTCGGCGTGTGTCACAGCAAGCCATTAAGAGGCAGTGCACCCTGAGCAGTAACAGTGGTGTCCCAAGCTCCTTCCCGGGGAAATACTCAGCATGGCAGCATCAAGCCGCCCTGGCTCTGAACTGTGTCTGTGAGCACCATCTGTTGGTGCTATTTTAGGCTGATGTGTCCTCGGTATGAGGTGGTAGGTTATCTCTGAGGTCGGGAACGCCCAACACTTCCCATGTAAATGAAGGTGACTGCTTCTCTGCTTTACGCCACTCAGCGTACGACAGGTTTCACAGCAACGCTCTTCTGTCAGATAGCGAGGGAAACCTGTGTCAGCTGAACTGATCTGGCAATTCCCTCCTGCAAGTGGGCTCGAAGTGGGGGGCAGACAGGTGGCCCTCAGCGCTCCCCCCCCAGAACAGAGGCTGGGGGGGAACAAGCCTGAGTGTGCCAAGGTCACAGAGGTCACTGAGCGGTCAACCAACCCTCCGGGCCTGAGGTGGGTTCTCGACCTTCCCATCTGTAGGCTCTACTATTTGGAGTCTGTCGGGTCTTTGACGCTGCCCCGGCTTTCATCCCCTGGTGGCTCTGGTCACAGCTGAGATTCCTGGGCTCACACGACCACTAACCTGTTTATTGTGCACCATCTCCCACAAGGGGGACGTTCCGGGGAAAGCCCTCACCTCATCTGCTGCTACGATCCTGGCACCTAACAGCCAACTGAGTATTTACAGAATGAACAAATGCTCACTCTTGACACCATGGGTCACCTCTCGGCTCAGCTGGACAGAGCAGTGCTTTTCATTTGGAGGCCCCTGGAGGCCCCCTAGAAGCTGTATCAGGATGAAGGTGCAAAGGAGGACCCAGGAGGCAGAGGCCCGGGGCTGATGGCTCCTGACGCTGCATTGAATGGCCACACAGCCACTCCTACCAGCTTCACAGACGGAGCTCTGATTAAAGGTCATGGCAACAAGAGGTTCTAGTGGCCAGAAAAAGCCACAAGTCTGAAAAATCATCAGCCTAGGCATGAGGCTAAAGAAGCCACTGCTGTCTCCTTGGGGTTTCTGGGTGTTTAGAGCCCTCTCTGGACTCTCACGAGGCAGTGGTGGGGAGTGGTAGAATGCTCGCCCTCCACGTGGCAGACCGGGTTTGATTCCTGGCCAGCACACCTCAGCACAGCCACCACCTGTCTGCAGTGGAGGCCTGCCTATTGCCATGGTGAACAGGTTCTAGAAGAGCTTCCAGGCTGAGCCGTACCAGAACAAAGGCCTGGCAATCAACTTCCAAAAACAAAAAATCAGCCCATGAGTTCATCTCTGTTCTACAGCACAGATGAGCAAACTACAAGCCACAGGCCAAATGCAGTCCACTGTCTGTTTTCCTTTTAAAGTTTTATTAGAATATGCATTTAAAAAAAAAAAAATCAGCCAATGAAAATCTTATGTGTCCCAAGGCTTCTATTCACCTGGAGCAACAGAGCAAAGAGAGTCAGGAACAAGAAAAGGAAATAGAATGTGTGGCTAATCATCTCCATGAATCGTCTCCCCTTTGCCATGAGACCAGGAGAAGTGGATGGTGCCTGGCTACCATTACTGAACATTTTGATCCAAGATTCTATAGAAGAAACCTGATCAAAAGGGGGAACACGCAGAAAAGAATTTCAAATTCTCATAGACTCCAGATATTCTGAAGCCATGGAGACTGGATGAACCCCTGAAACTATCACTGTGAGATAATCTTTAAACTCTAAACCAAAAATATTTGAAAGAGAACAACAGTTTAGCTTAACTAAACTCATAAAGAATGTCTTCCTGGAGCACTGTGCTCTTTTACAATCTGTCTACATGGGACCAAACTCACAACAGCAACTCAAAGGGTTAGATGGGAACCTTCAGGGGACAGTGAGCTTATGTTAATGGGGGAGGAACAACTAGGAAAGGCAGGTGAGGATGGATGCACAATTCCAAGAATGTCATCGGTGTCACTTTACGGTACATGGAGAAACTGCTGAACTAGTGTATGCTTTATTGTGTATATTCTGAACAACAACAAAATTTAAATTAAAAGAAACCCTATAGGTCACAACGGTCCAACCACAGCCGATCACCGGGAAGGTGCGGCCTTGGTTTCTGCTGTGTGTGGGCTTACCAGGAGTCAGCAACAGCCAACAGCAACAACTGGCCTGTCATTTATCGAGACTAAGATCCAGCTGCCCAACTTCTCCACCACTCTATGAGCCCAGCACTACAGGCCTGCGAAGCCCAAAAAAATACTTGTTGGATTAAACTTGTAAGCCGGTTGGCTTTGTGTGGCTCTATTCTGAAATCCTGCCTGATGGCCTCAACGCCAGCGGCTGATTCTTAACAGTCACTCGTCCCTCAGGGATGCCAGTGAGAAAACCAGGGCAGCACAGCACAGAGGACCACAGGACAGAGTCCAGGACACACCTGCTGGGGGCGCGGCTGTCCTCCACAAGGAGCCCGGCCAACCGCCTCTGCGTGGGCAGAGCCTTACCTATGAACTCATGTAAGAAGACCAGGGAGGCGATGTAGCAGGCCAGGCTGAGCAGCTCGGCCACGGTCATGAGCCAGTGCCACGTCTGGATGGTCAGCGCCACCATGAGCAGCTCGGTGAGGATCAGTGACGTGAAGGAAATGGCCACAATGTGCACAAACTCCGACTCAAACAGCAGCAGCGCCCCGTACATGATGGTGCTCCCTGCAGACACGAGACAGGAGCGGGTGGGCGGCCGTGCACGCCAGCACACAATGCCCACACCGCGCACTCTGTCACTCACATCTCACGTCTTTTCATTTAGACACGAAAGGCATTGCATGCTAAGTGAGGCTGAAGAGTGGGGCTTTATACTTTTCTTAAGGAACAGCATCACACTGGAGTTTTTCTGCTTGCCCTCCTCTGACCTCTGTCAGTGTCCCCCCTAAAGGATCTGTGGCAGTTCTCACCTGTTGCCTGTGAACATGACCCTGTGGGGAAATAGGGTCTGTGAAGATGTTATCAGTTAGGCTGACATGAGGTCATACTGGAGTAGGGTGGGCCCCAAGCCTGTCTGAGTAGTGTCCTTATAAAGGAGGAGGAGAGACACAGACTGAGAGACAGAGATGCGACCTCATGTGACACAACAGCTGTAAGCTCAGGAAAGCCTGGGGCTACCAGAGGCCAGGAGCAAAGCCGGCAGCCGCTTTCTGTGCAAAGCACTGAGAAGGAATGCACTTCTAGTCCCCAAGCTGCGAGACAGGGAAGTTCTGTTTAAAAGCCACCCCCTTGTGGTATTTTGTTATAGCAGCAGTAGGGAACTGAGACACCCTTCTGTAATAAATAATCGATGGCTGGAAAGAAAGAAAAATGGGAAGGAAGAGAGGCAGACACAGAGAATAGCTGGAATTGATGGAACAGGAAACGAATATTAAGTGTATTGTTTAAAACCATAAAGGAGATCAAGTGAGACATCGAAAGGAGGGGACACCTATGTTGAGGACAGGAAGGAGGAGAGGAGAGTGCTGATAGCTCGCCATCTGACCGGACAGGGACTGAACTGGCCGTGTCTCCCGTTGGCTGAACGCAGGCCGCACAGGAATGCTCTTTAGAAGAGGCGGCAGCCGGGAGACACTAAACACAAACACCCCCGCTGTGACGGCCCCTCGGACACAGGGTTGAGGATGGAGAAGCAGGGCATGCAGGACCAGCGCTCGTCTGTTAACTGTCTGCAGGGCCTGCTTTCTAAGCAGGTGCGTGCATCATGCTGGGATCTCTCTTACAATACCCCCCCTCAAAAACACTCATGACAGTTTAACTCCCTGCTGATAACAGACTGCTTTCTAAACCCTCTGACTACACCCCCCCCCCAGTCAAACTCATTAAGAACAGGCCCCAAAGAGAAGTAGGTCAGCCTAACTGACAGCATCTTCACAGACCCTGTTTCCCCACAGGGCCATGTCTATTTGTAAATCACATATATGGACCTGTGCAGTTAAGGTCCACCTCAGGGTTGCTTAGAAATACGTCATGTGTGCTGTGTGACAGACACAAAGGGCGAAGAAAAGACACATAAACAGAGGGTTTCACAGGTTGTTTTCCAACAGGTAGTCTTCCAAGCCCCCTGCAATGGAGGGGACCTCTGGAGCCTCTGAAATAAACAGGCTTTTCATGGAGTCCCTCGGGGCACCAATGGTTAAGGGCTCACTTGCTAACCGGAAGCTGGCAGCTCAAGCCCACCCAGTGGCAGTCTGGAAGACAGGCCCGGTGACTTGCTTCTGACAGGGCACAGCCTTAAAAACCCCACGGGGTCAACAAACATGACACTCACATGCCACGGGGCTCACTGCTGAGTTGGTGCTGACCCACAACGACCCTGGAGGACACAGCACAACTGCCCCACAGGGTTTTCAAGGCTGTAATAGCTGCAGAAGCACACTGCTTCATCTTCCTCCCATGGAGCCCCTGCTGGGTTTGAACCCTTCAGTTAGCAGCTGAGTGCTTAACCACTGAGCCACCAGGGCTCCATATGCATGTGTGTTTGTGTGTATGTGTGTGTGCGTGCATGCGTGTTTTCAAAAACTACACCAGGACCATACTGTGAACTGAAAGTCCCAGAAACCAACCACTCTGTGATGTGGACCAAACCCCCGAGCAGGTGTGGAAGAATGAGGGCCGTGTCTGTCTGTCCCACGAAGCACACAAGCACCTCACATATCCAAACGCCAACCCCTGTCCCAGCTCAATGTGCAGTGCCCACGACGGCGAGCAGGCCCCCCAGGCACACTCGTCACTGCTGTTTCAGGACTCTGGGTTCCTCCTTCAGGCTCTGCGTTCAGGGGCCGTCAGCCCCAGAGCTCAGGAAGAGCAGGCAGCTCCAGCCCTCCTCCTCACCTTGGTAGATGCTGATCAACACCCACGTTAAGAATGTCTTGTAGGACAGCGGCCGTCCCTAGATGGAGACAGAGAGTGGTCATGTCAGCGCTCTCAGCGTCCACAGCCCCCCCCGTCCCTCCCCCTGCCCTCACGGTACTCTGACCAGGCAAGGCAGCCTGCCCATTTTCATCAGAAAAGTAAAAAATGCATCTATTTTTCAATTTAAAAAAATTTTTAAAGCTGAGAATCAGCCTACATAACCCTGAGACCAAAAGAACTAGATAGTGCCTGGCTACCACGGTCAACCGCTAGGAAAGGATCAGTGCAGGAGATCCTGGATAGAGTGGGAAAACAATGTGGAACAAAACTCAAAAAAAAAAAAAAAAAGACCCAGGCTTATTGAGACTGGTAAGACACCTAAGACCTGGAATTGAACTCACTCCCTTGGTTTAACCTTCAGCCAAACAATAGACAGGCCTATAGTTGGGTCCAACTCGACAGCACATAACAACAACAAGATGAGGTGAACACTACCCCAGGCAGGTGTAATCCTTAGAACAATCAGCCCTGGGAGATCAGAAGGGCAGCATTTGCACAGGGAGACAGCTCAGGGGGCAGGAACGCGTGGGAAAGAAGGACACAGGGAAAAGGAGCCACAGGCAGAAGAAAGCCATCATATGATGGGGACTGACATCAACATCATGAAACAAAACGTGTATCAACTGTTGAACAGAAAGTGAATTTGCTTTTTCAACTTTCACCCAAATCACAATGAAAAGTTAAAAAAAAAAAAAAAAATCAGTGCTTTATGAACATTTCGATATATTAGGGAAACACATTTTTAAAAGAGTTAATATTACATGGCAGTCCCTCTGGCCTTGAGTAAAAGCTCTCTGAAAACAAAAACTGAAATTATACACACACTCACCACCCCCCACCCCCCAAGAACACTTCTGGGGGAAAGAGCTGCAGCTGCGAGACTGTTCCCGTTCCCATGTGCCTGTGGTGTTTAACATTCTTTACTGGTGTGTATGCTACTTTTTCTAGGTTAAAAAGTATAAACTCCTACTCCTTCCTCAAAAACAAGAAAATCATGAGTGTCAAGTATGGTCAAATCAGATTCAGGGGATCTGTGTGACATGAAGTGAAAGGGGGGAGGAGAGAGACAGAGATGAAGAAGGGCGGGGCCGGAGGGGGCGGGGCCGGAGGGGGGCTTGGAGAACCTTGAGCAGGTCCTTGTAGAGCTCAGGATACAACATGGCAACTTCAGACTTGACATCTTTGTCCAGGACCAGAGAAAAGACGGGAAACATGGTGTAAAGCGTGGAGTACCTAGGAGAGAAAATGCCCACAGGAAGGCCCAGCCAATGGAACCAGAGCCATTGACTGCAGCCCCCAGCCCAGTACCCAAGCCTCGGGAGCCCAAGTTCCATTCCTTCCTTCACTCACTCACTCACTCTGTGTGGAGTGCCTACCATGTGCAGGGGCCTGTTTTAAGCACTGGAGATTCAAGATGAAAACAGACAAAAGCTTCTGCCCTCAGAGAGCATCGAAGGACAAACAAACTAAGGAAAGTCTACTGTGTCAGACGCAAGTGCCAAGGAGGGAACATAACAGATGAGAGGATGAGGTGTGTGGAAAGGGTGTGTGTGCAATTTTAGGACGTCCAGGAGGACTCAGTGAGGCAGCATCTGAGGAAACACCCACAAGAGCCGAAGGGTGAGTCTAGCCAGTATCTGGGACGACAGCGTCCTCCGCAGAGGGAACAACCGGTGCAAAGGCCGGGAGGTTTCTGCCACATCTGAAGGACAGTAAGGAGAGGCCAGTGGGGCTGGAGCCAAAGGGGCAGAGGCGAGAAGGGAGGAGATGAGGACAGAGAGAGGACGGCCTGTAGACCCAGCTCAGGTAGTCCCTGACTATACGCCCCCCCAAGAACCTGCCAAGAGCACAGTCCATTTTGCCAATGAGAAGCAGGGCAGATTCCAGCATCCACTCTCAAAATAAACCTACAGGCCAGACACGAGGAGATGGCAGCACACTTCCTAAGACCCTGAGTCCAGGCTGCCTGTGTATGCTCTCGGCCTCTTTACTCCTAAGAGGAGGCCCTGCAGGCAGCTTTACAGGCCGTCAGACTGCCCTTCCCGGTAACTCAGATTGCACACTCTCTCTAAAAGGTCACAAGGAACATCATGAAGCTCCAGGTCAGGGGCGGGGTGGGTCTGATGGCAGCCAAGTGTCCGGTACACCTCCCTAGCGGCCCAGTGGCATGTGAGGTCAAGTTCTATGGCATGCACATCCCCCAGAGCAGAGTGCTGGCTCTCCTTAGAGACCTAACTAACAGCTGAAAGTTCTGCTGGGGTCAGCGATGGTGGGGAGGGCACTTTTCAGATCCTCCTTTCACTCATCCTTCTCCTCAGACCCCGGAAATCACCGAGCCTGCGACCCTCTGCCCTCGCTGACAATTAGTGCCACCCTCGAACTCTCGTGGGCAAAATGCGTACATGACCAGGTACAAAGGCAAGGGGCTGCAGCCCACAGACAGGCTGGGCTCTGCTTCCTCAGTGTGGCGAGGGCTGAACCATTCAAGGTTTGATTCAACGAGGGTCTAAGTGGCATGGCTGCGCCTGCCTGGGCCCCAGAGGCCAAGGCAAGTCTGGGGACTGACGCGTCTACACATCGTTTCTTATCCCTTCTGGGGCACAGGAAGGAGGGCTCCTTGCCGCGATGTCCTTACCCGATGATGAGGAATCCTTGATAGAGGGGAACGGAGGCAAAGTAAAACACGGAAGAGAAGACAGCCTGCACCAAAAAGAAAGGAGATGTCACCGAAAATCACCCTAAATGGGAAAAACAAATCGTCTCATGTTCTGTACAACAAAAACACTACCTACCACTTGCACGGCACTTACTGCAAGCCCGGGACTGTTACAAACACTTCATGTCTATTCACTCATTTAATTATTAGAACAACCCTATATGTCACATATGAGGAACGTGAGGCACAGAGAGGTTAAGTGACTTGCCCAAGATCACACAGCTCATATGAGACAGAAATCAAAAACCAAACTCACTGCCATCGAGTTGCATCCAACTCATAGCGACCCCTCTTTGGGTTTCAAAGGCAGTATCACTACGGAAGTAGATCACCCAATCTTCCTCCCAAGGAATGGCTTTGAACCATTGGTGGGTTTGAACCGCCAGCCTTCTGGTTAGCAGTCAAATGCCTTAGGCACTACACCACCAGAGACAGAGCTAGGATTTTAAGGCTATGTCAGAGTCCACTCCCACTCAGCCCCTTTGTGGGCATTTACTAAGCTCCACGTGCTAGACACAGAGGACTTCGTATCTGACCTCAGTGGACCACAAGGTCAACACATGACATCGAGTCTTGGTATCACCCGCATGTGACAAAAGGGTGAGCTGTGAGGAAAAGGGCACTGAGGGACCGGAGCCCAGCTCCATTCAGAGCCCACATGCCAACCACCAGACTCACCACCTCCCAGACGTGTGTGTTGATAATCGGTCAGCATGTGTGTTAGGGCAAATTTGGAAAAATCTCCTCCGAAGAGTCTACACCAGTTACCATGGAGGGTGGGACTGCAGGAAACCCATCACTTCTTATGTTACATGTTCTAGTATTTTTAGAAATTTTTACAAAGAACACATTACACACTACTTTTGTAATTAGAAGCAATAAAGATAGTGACGAACCCTGACTGAAATCTGCCTGCCTCCTGACTGGGAGAATATTAGCTACTGGCGAGAGAACAAGCCGGGAGATAGAATCAGGTGATGCCCTGGCTAGCCCCTTGGCTGGATGTCTGGGCTATGGAACAAAGGCGGTCCCTAAGCTAATTCTGATTAGTATAAAACCAAAGGGAGGCCGGGGACAACCACTGCCCGAAGGCTTTCTAAAACTCAACACAGACAGGCTGGGCTGTCGTAGTGATCAGAAACAGCTTCTACCCCAGAGATGGCTCCAAAACCACCGACTCTGGGGCAAGACAGGCGGCACTTAGAAAATCCATGCTTCCTTGGCCTGGAGCTCAGGTGCCACCAAGAGCCTCCCACCCCCCAGCCCCGCTGTGATGCCAGGACCACAGCACCTTTTAAATGACTTCTTGCCCGAGGCTAGGGAGCCATCCAGGAGCCACACAGAAAGGATGTTGTTGCAAAAATATCACGAATCTGGTGTGTGTTTTGCAAATCAACCCAAGACCCTCTTTCTCTAGGAAAGCCCAGGCTTTCTCCAAGCTCGTCTTACAGAGAGCACCAGGGACAATGACAATGTCATGGCTGTGTCTTTCAAAGACACCAGTGCCAGGGGGTAGCTCTAGCTGGGGGTAGCATGCAGCCGGCCACTTTTGGCACAACGGACAGAGGTTAGAGCCAAAGAACATCCCATTCCCCATCCTGGAATTTAAAAAAAAAAAAAAGTCCACATTCATGGTAACACGCAGGCATGGTGGGGGTCCAACCAATGACTACTGATTCAGTGCCCAGTTAAAAACACTGCATTGTCCAGCTCTGCCGGACGTCTTAACATAAATTAAAGTATAGATGTGGTCCCGTGAACCACAACAGCTGTTTGGGTTGAGATCACCTTGATGATAATCACTTCACGGGCTCCTCCACTCCCCAAACATCACAGATACTTAAAGCATAAAGCAGCCACAAAAGGCGAGAGTAACTGGGAGGAATGGATTCGCATGTATCTCTGCACCACCACCTGACCTACAGTGGAAGGTCTTCCAGGTCTGCTTAAACACCTCTTCTACAAATTACAGCACCCCCTCCTGTTTGTACTTTCTGCTATTTCGGTTGATAACCAATTGCCTTTGGTTTGCCTGGTCCCTGCTGGCCATCAAGCCCTCGCACATTCATGGTCTGTTCCTCACAGCAGACCATGTCTGAGTGGGCAGGCAGATTTTATCATTCCCATTTTATAGGTGGAAGGACTGAGGGCTGGAGTAGTAAAGTGACCTGTTCAGAGTCTCATAGCTACGTAGCAGTCTGACCAAGAAGCAATGTGGGTTCTAGGATCTACCGTGCCTTCATTTTTACCATTTAACTGAGTATTTTCACCTAAATGCAAAAGGAGGAAAGACAGTCGACAGCTTTTCAGCACTCAGATGTCTTCTCCCTCTTCTGGCCTCCCTCCTAGTACATCCTCAGTCTGGCACACACCCTGCCCAGTACCAGACTTTGAAGGAGTCAGTAAGAGGGAAGGTGGGAACGTATCTTACACCCTCTAGGTCCTTTTGTGGAAAAGCAAGATGGTAGCAAGACATCTATCCCCAAGGGGATTAGCAGTCCTTATAACTCATGATAAGCTCACTTCCCAGGCAGGCTTTGCTGGGATGTTGAACTGGGACAGTGGGACAGCCTCTGTGCCATCTGCTACATGGTCCCAATCTAAGAACTACCCTGCCCATGGAGGTGGCCTTGGCCTCTCTGTACCACGAGCATTCAAAGAGGAGGAGACCTAAATGAAGAATGGTGGCTCTGGGGTCCACCTGCCTAGGTAGACCAAATCCCTACAGGACACTGCATGGATTTCTCAACCGTGCTGAGACTCACCACCCCATCTGTAAAACAGGAAAAACGACAGTCCGCCAGTCCCTACTGGCTCAGGCAATGGTGAGGATTCTACAAGACACTATACGGTGAACACGTAGCCCGATGCCCAGGGCATAGCAAGTGCTCAGGAAAAGCAAGCTGTTCTTCTTCTCTGATTGTTCTAGCCCCTGCCTGTGGGAAAATCAGGCCCTGAGCATTCACTCGGCATTACTTCTGTGTCTTTTGTTCTGGCAAACCAGTGGACGCGCCCCAAACAGAACAACACTGCCATCTTCACTACATCTGCCAGGTGATGAGCACTGGAGGACGGGCACCACGGCTGATGCTCGTGTCCACCCAACGAGTGAGGATGTTCAGCACCACGTGACAGTGGAGGAATCGGGGGCACAAGATGTTCTGGGACTGCCCAGAGTCTACCAGCTGGACAGTGGCCGCTGCAGAGTCAAACCAGCTGGACGGAGACAACAGCTCCAAAGCCCAGTCTGACTCTCAGGCTACTTCCACGGTAACTGTGCAGCCATGGGGCCCCGGGCAAGTCCTGGCTGCCCGCCCACCCACCTGGTGCAGCCACGCGCCCCTGCGCAGAGGTGCCGGCTGCCCGCCCACCTGCATGGTGCTGATACACAGGCTCCTGTGGATCACGAACTGGCTGAGGGCGGCCGACCGCTTGTAGCTGTTGCGGCCGTGCACCATGAGCAGCCGGCCGAGGTGCTTGAACTGGGTGATGGAGAAATCCGCAGCCAGCGAGGCCTGCTTCCCCTCCTAAGGGCCAACGAGATAAGGCACCATCAGAAGCACAGGCATCAGGGCAAACATCTTTTCTAATTAAAAAGGCAAGCCTTCGTAAGGGGGTCTTTGAAGAACCTTCGCCAAGAGATTTCTTTGGCTTCCAGCCACACGAGGTTGGTGGGCCACCTTTAAATTTGATTTAAAAAGAGGAATTTGCTTAAATGAAAAACATCCTGATCCACAGAGTTGCAATTTAGAGGTGGATCTAGAGTTAAATCGTGGGGCTCAGGCCCAACCCGCCTTCCACATCCGAGGCAAAGACTATTCAAAGACAGATGTTTTGCAACATTAAGTGCTCCTGAGAGTTAAATAGGAGACGGAGAAACCCAAGGCTATTATTAAATGTTATTAAATATTAAACGGAACATTCTTGAATATACAGCTTTATACACTTGTTTGTGCATGGGAGGGGTGCATACCTGTTCATGTGTGTGTGTGTGTACAGGGGTACACAGCTTGCTCATGTATGTCTGTGTGTCGGGGGGTGGGGAAAATGCAAAAACGTGGAATTAAATCACAAAGCAGCCACACAATGGAACTGTCTGACTCTGAAAAATGCACGGCAGCACCAATCACAGGACAGTGTGACACCAAGGCCCCCTGGTTTGACACAAGGGGAAGGACACAGAGTATTGATGTCATGAAACTAAAACACCCCCAACAACGATGCAGAAGCGTGTTCTGCATTAAAGAAGATTCCAGAGAGATGAGGACACACAGTGAACACAACGTGATTGGAATCTGAATGTCAAAAAGCAACTAAGTGAAAGCCACAAAGATATTTTGAGGACAGAGGAGGAAATCTAACTATGACTAGTGTCTATCATCATTATAACAATGTTACATTTGAGGGGGTGGTAAAAATGGTATTTTTTGCTTATGGAGGAGAATGTCCTTATTCTTAGGCAATCCATGCTAAAGCAGTGGGTAGGAAAGTGTACAGACGTCTGCAATTCACTTTCAACGGATTCAGAAGAGAATGAATGAAGTGACATGTAATTTGTATGTATAAGGGGGTGAAGGAGCGACAATGTGGCTAAGGTCAACAATTGCCGAATGAAAACAAGGGGCAGGCGGATGGGTACTCAATGCTTAGTTCAATTTTCTGAAGGACTGACATTTTTCAAAATAAAAACTTAAACTTAGAAAGACTAAGAAATGATGGATCTACACATTCTAACGTGGAAAAAATACAAGGTATAATGGACTCAAGGCACCTAACAAACAGATTGTGTAACGTTTATAATTTTAAATTACACATGAAAGTAATATATGCACATGTGTAAAACTACATGTACTATATATATATAGCAAGAACGTTTTACATACACATATATGCCTAACAACCACATACACACCCATACCTAGTAGTGTGTGCCCCGAACAGTCCAGAAGAACGGCCAGTGTTAATAAATGGGATGCAGCTCTCTGAAGGAAAGAATGCCGTATACCCATTCCTGAGTGCTTGAAATTTTTTAGTTTTATAAACCAAAAATCGAAGGAATGCACGCAAGCTGTTAACAGACGGGGAATGCGGCCCTCTGTACAGGAGTGTGCTCCTGTAAAGATGACAGCTGATGTATGGAAATTGAACTTGCTCTGTAAACTTGCACCCCAATCACAGTAAAAATTCAAAACAAGAAAAATATACAGGGAACAGATGTGCCAGATCTTGATGGAGAAAATGATAAAACGATATTGAAAAGAACACAGAAAACTGACATAAAGAAATACCAGCCCCATAAAGATTTAAAAAAAAAAAAAAAGATGACAACCTAGAAAACCCCACAGGGCAGTTCCAGTGCCAGAAGGGTCGCTTATGGGTCTCTGATGACTGGCGACTGGTGAAGCCCAGCATGTACGACAACAATGACTAGGATGCATGAAAAACAACAGATAAACAGACACAAATCAGAGGGCGAGGAAGGTGTGAGGGGCCAGCCCTCAGGGGACAAGGACAAGGACAGGAAAACGCAAGCAGTGGTAAAACTGCCGCTGCTGAGAAGGAAGGGTTGCTTATGCACAGGGAGATAGCTCAGGGTGCAGAAGAGTATGAAGGGATGGACACTGGGAGGAGGTAACTATGGGGAGGAAGTGGGAGGGGAGCTGCTGCATTGTAAATTTTGGTCAATGACATGAGACAAAGTATATGTGAACTGCTGTATGAAAAGTGAATTTACTCTGTAAATCTTCACCCAAATCCTAATAAAAAAAAAACAAAAAAAAAACTGCCGCTGCCGAGGGCTTTTGACGAGGGGCGAACCATGCCTCAAGGGATCAGCACACAGCATGGAAACCAGTGATCTTAGTGACAACCCGACTATTCCGGGAAGGGAACATTTGAAGAACTACTCCCTGCATCCTAAGAACACAGAAAAACACTTTTTTCTTTATTTTCTTTTTTAATTTAGGTTTTGGCAAGTGAGATGTATTTGTCTATGTGTGTGATTCACGCCAGGGGCAACACGGTCCCCCATGCTTGTCTTATCTAGAACTTCCAGACGTGCTCGAGCTGTGTCTTAGAAGGAAAGAGGACACAGGTAAAGACGCTCAGCAGGTGGAGCAGAGCAGCACCTAGGTGACACCACAGGGCCCACCACACTAGCACATGCCACGGAGGATGGCAGCCTCCGCCCCAGTGCTCACCTTTCCTTCAACCCCCACGCCACAGTCCGACTCCTGAATCATACTGACATCATTGCCTCCGTCACCTGCGGGTCACAGACCAGAGAGAAAAGACCGGAAATGCGGGAGAGGCAAGAAACCAGGGCTTTGAACCCGTTCAAAGCAGTTCAGTCATGGCCAAGGGAAACAAGGGCGGCACGCGTGCTGCACAGCATCTAAGTCTCTTGTGCGTGGGATTTGGACCCGAGTAGGAAACGGGCAGCGGTGTTGCGCTCAAAGATGGCAGCAGACCGACATACCTTCAGGGCGGCACTTCTCCGTGTCTCTAGCAAAGGAAGACAGGCTAAACAGGAGAAGCCTGCACACATCTATCTACTCTTTACCCAGGGCAGATGCTCAAATTAACAACAACATGGCACTTGCGTCTACAGGGAAACCAAACACACCACAGCCCGAGTAAAGTGGTCTAGGCAACTTCAAGAGCACAGCACAAAATGCAGGTATCCTTACAGGCAGTAACATGAGTGTACCAGGTCAAGGCCAGCAGTGAGGGCCCCAACCCCTCATGCCCACTTCCCCAGGGAGCTCCCCAACCACCACCACCTTCCCCCCACACCCTCCCACCCCTGCCACCCACCCTCCACCCTTCCCCCC